CGTCGAACCAGAAGCCGTCGTATCCCACAGTTTCCTGCGATTGCCCATCTTACCGGTCACCTATTGGGCCACTTGGTTCTGCATGCCGACGATGTGGATGCGCTTTGAAAACACAGACCGGGAATTAACAGCGCACTCCTGCCTTTCCATGTCTGCGTCTTCAAAGCGCACCCACATCGTCGACATGCAGGAGAAGAGTTGCTCGATTCATAGTAAAGTTGTTCAATTCAGCTTTTTGTCTAGAACGGAAAACCTTCCTCCTTATGAACCCCGAACATTATTGTGTTTTCATCTATGCACACAACCTCAAAATGACACGCTTATTTCTGCGCCTGTCACACCGGGTGCGCTTTTTGAAGAGATCAGCGGCGATCGGAATGACTTGTGATCCGAAGTGTTTGTGTGACTGAGGAATTATAAAATGTACTGATGAGATGACGTCAACTGCGGCTGCCGGGTCACGCCAACTATTATGGTTTACTCGCGAGTAAGCTATTCATGAATCAAACTTTCATGTTGAACGTATACCTAAACCTACAGTCTATGTTCACACCCAAAGATTGATAAGCTAGACTGCGACGATGTTCATTAGCAGCAGATAGACAGGTAATGAGTCATTTGCTCGCACAGATGAAAGATCAACCACCGGCGTCGTTTTTAAAAAAATCAAATGCAACGAGAATGAAACGTGGCCACCACGACGTACACTGTGTGACGATTTGTTAAGCGCGACTATTTTGTGTCCCATCTTGTTTCAACCAGTACATATCAATGATATCGCTCAAACTATAAAATAAAACACCTTTGCGATGGATGTGCAGTGTCAGTTTTCACGCTTTGTTACCCATTTCAGTCGCCAGTTCATTTATGCTACGGGTGGAAGATGACAGTGACTGATGTGTTCTCGGTAACCGGGGACATTCGACTAGTCTGAGGTCTGAGTATCGCCTCTGTGCCATTAGTCCGTGCTGAGCTTTACATTGCCTTTGATGAAGTGGGCAGAACAAACCTACGCGTTATTAGTGGGAATCCAGCTTTCTCGCGTAATAGCTGCAATGCCGGTGCTCTTTCTATCGTCATCGGTCGGAAAACGGAACGTTTTGACTAGCTTGTAAAATTAATTCAGGCATGGAGACTGCGTCCTGGCTTGACACAGCTATGCTCGAGTTGCCAGCGCTGTATCGGTATAATTTTATCCGCATAAAACTTCGGAACACAAGCAGCCGCGGTCAGCAAAAACGCTAAAACCACGCAAGAACAAGCTATACTGGAAGTTTCAGGGAAGGTTTTCAGGTGAATGCACAATGTTGCCAGAGACCGGCAGGCTCTGGCAACATGCATGTAACAATATTACACGCGACGCTTTTTATGCATTACCTCACAACTTTCTGCATGAATACTACTATGTTGATGAAGGCCTCCTCAATAGTAAATACTTTATCATTGAATGAAATTTTTAATGACTAAAAACAGCTCGCAGAGAATTCAGTTTTCAAAAGTTAAGCACTACTTTCTATTTCCCCAACCTTTTGATAGAGCTCGGGGCTTACGCTGGGACTGAGAGCTTGCCATTTTGACACTGGTGGGTGGGTACTTCCCAGATGTTGCCCCCATGTCAGCGGAACCGAACTCGTCCCCGGTGAAGGCGGTGGTGTGTCCAAGGTTGGCACATGTGCCTCGTTCACTCAGTAAGCCAGCTGGGTAAGCTCGTGACATGCAGATCGCCCCAGGGAGATCCCCCTGGGGTGATCTGCACAACGCCCTCGTTTCCTTCAGGTGGGTATTGGTCTCCTTTGCAGTTCTAGGAGGTTCCGAGGGTGTTAACTGCTTTTCCACGACGGGAACTGGGGCATTCGACCTTGTATTTCGCAGAGGTCTGCGACTGAGTTCAGCGCTCCTGCGCCGCTCGTGTAGTTCTAAACAAAGATGAGGCAACTGGGCAAGCTGGGTCGAAACTTCGCGTGTGGTAGACGCGAGGTAGTGAATACCATCCTGGGCTAGCAAGCCTTCTCCTGCTAGCATTTTAGAGAGGTAGGCAAACTTAATCTTTAACGCTCCACTCGTCATCCTGAGCTCCGCGTTAAGAAGCATTGCTCTTGCCTGCGTTGATTTGCCTCTCGTGGTGATTTCAAGGACAGGAGATTGCCAGCCTCTTCACGTATGGTGTCACAGCCTGCCCGATGGTCTGGGCAATATCCCCACATTGAACTTCTTTAGGAACATCGTGGATCCCGAGGTACACGACCACCACCTGTGAGCTGTGGCTTTCACCATCACTGTGCTTCTGAAGCAAATGCTGCAGTTTGTCAGCCGTCATCCTTCATTCAAAAACGCGTCTCACACACACATGGTTGCTCTATATTCTTCGTAGCTCACCCGCGATTCTGGGAACGTTTCCTATCACCAGTGCTTATAGGACCTCGAAGGTGGAGCAGCAAGTTCTTTTTGTTTTTCTTCCTCTTCAGTTGTTGGCCAGTGTTCTGGGTTTGGTTGTGGTCTTCAGCTTTGCTCTCGTTCGGCCCATCATCCTTTCCGTGTTTCGGCTTCCTGGTCTCGCCTGCGCAACCCGTGTCGTGAGTTTGTTCGCATAGACACCGTGCCTCGCCACTGGCGTGGACAAAACTGCCATCGTACCACTGCGCACACTCACCACTCTGCGTAACCGCATCTGCAGGGCTCAGCTGCTCTTGCATCGACTGTAGTGTCTGGCCGCCATTCGGTACAACTACTGCGTGACCTTCTTACTGTTGGACCTCCGCACCCTCCATCAAATGCGTCTTTGATGCTGTGGATACAGTCAGGATTGCCTGCGGCGAACAGCTGTGCTCGTTATCCTTGAGCGGTTCCTGTAATTCATAATTTACTGCCAGGATGACTCCTAGAAGTGTCTCAATCTCCTTCTTCTATACACGCAGCCTTGTCTCAAGTACTTGTATCGTGGTGCAAAGGTAGCGCACAAAGACTGTGGCATCTGCTGCATTTGCGGACGGGAAGTCCGTCTCAACCAAATAAGCCAGTTTTTGGCACCTATCGGACTGTACCATCGGTTCCTTCCGCTCTTTCCTCTTCGACCTCTTCGCCATCGCACCCGGGCGGAAAAAGTGGCACACGGTCAATGTGCAAGCTGCGAGTTGGCGTTGGCGCTGTATCGGTGGCCGATACATGAGACAAAACCAGCTCATAGAACACCTATATACTGCCGGTGTGTTAAGGCTTGGTGTGGATATAGCTACTGTATATGCTACCTTTAGATATCATTTACAGTAACTTTAGGCGGGGACAATTTAGAGTGCGGTCTGGCGGCGTTATAATGCGCAACCAGGCCAGCAAATGGAAAAATCATGACGCGTATTGGCAAACACGCATCGTGACACGCACGGGCAAATAATGATTTGGAGGCACTTCATCTGGCTAAATAGCAAGGCCAAATAACAATTCACTGTTAAATTATGTTCAGTTCGCCGTAACTACAGAAGAAAACAGCCTGTCTGTGGCGATTATTGAGCCGATTCGCGCCGAATTGCTCTCTTGCACTCAGTGGAATAAATACGAAGTGCAAAGCTGCGAGTTTATTGTCGATGCATATTACGAGCCGTAATGAGGCTACGAATGGCACACAGGCACTCTACAAGCGAGTATCGCAGCACGTTTGCTCTAAATCAGCATACTATTTTCAAACTCGCGTATCATAAGGGGGTGGCAGAGCACCCGACGCGTCTGACATCGACTCTCGCGGAACGCCTTCCTCTCCCTGGCGCCAGTTGCGCATGTGTGAGCCGCCGAAGAGTGACCAACCATGCTAGGAGGAGTCATCCTCTCTTCGCAATTTCCGTCTTCACAAAAATGTGGCGTAACGGCCTATGCTCAGTATTCTTTCATCCATGCTTTACACCCACTCCTACCTAACATGGCCGTGTCTTGAAAGCATGGACAATGCCTCCTAGAAAAATTATGCTTGGAACGTGAGCCGCGAACGCGCCGCCCTACCCTCGGATTTTACCCTACCCCTCCGGTACGGTGGTGAACGCCTTTGGCGGCCACCCCTTGCGAACGCAGCAATGCTCTCACAGTTGCCTCTGAGCAGCTGTGATGTCACGTGACAAAGCGGTGAGGTAATGCCACGTGATTTAGCGGCACGGAGGCGAGTGGTTCTATTCGGCAGACGGTCGCAACACGCGGCAGGAGGCATGGCCTCCGAGATTTTGTGCCGGCAGGAAGCTCCCAATTAGAAAGAGAGAGACGTTCCAGGCATAGTTTTTCTTTGAGGCGTTGGCAAGGATTACGTTTGCATTTCGGGCAGTGCGGTGACAAGGATCCATCTGGCGGTGTCTTGTTCACTTTGTTCCTATGCTACTGCAGCCGTCTGCCCTATGTGCACCTCTTTCCATAGCTTAGCGGAATCTGGTATCCCTATCCGCCACGTATGTGGATAGGGATACCATGCAGATTCCGCTAAGCTGTGGAAACGTGAGTGTGCTGTTTAGCACATTCACGTTTTGTCACTGAATTTGGATTAGTTTTCTACCTACTTTCTAGCTAAGGCTACCTACTTTATTTGGCGCCGAAAAAATCATGTGTATGCTCAAGGAATCACTTGTCGGAAGAGTAGCGCTGTGTGTGTGTGTCTCCGTGTTCTTCTTGTGTCTCGTTCCCTTGCGCTGCCATTGCTACTTAGTATATAAGCCAATCTTGCAAGTTTAATCAATAATCAGAAATTCATTCACGATGTCCGTTCGGTATTTAATGTATCGGGGCTCATTCCACTACGAGAATTTGATCATGATTCATGTGGTAGATGGGGGAACAAGAAAACCAAGAATACGAGTTGTGAACAAAGAGAAGTTACTTCAGGTTAGAAAACCGTGGTGCTGTCTTGTCGTTAACATAGCATTTACTTCCTACTAAACTGGCTCAACTATATATTCCAATCACGGAATATTATTTTTTTCGATTGATGGCAATGCCGAATATGCATGGGCATAAAGAGAACGAAGTTGCATATGTTGCCGAGCGGCTCGTCGAGTCCCGTCGAAATCTACGAAGGCAACCTCGATTCCGCCAAGGAGCTCGAGAGACTTTTCGATCCTATATCGCAGCGAGACTTCTTGAAGTTGTGCGTCCAGTGCCTGTACATGGCCGAGACCTGCGTCGGTAAACCGACGAAGCCGTACGGAGCAGTGAACGAGGAACTGCGCAGCTACGTGAACGTCACTTTCGCAGAAGTCCTGCAGTCTTCGGGCGAGGAGAAGTTGTCGCACCTGGCCTCCAAAGTTCCGAAGGTCGACGTGGACCTGCTCGTCACTGTTGTCCAGGCCGAAGGTCTCGTGGCAAGTGACGTCAGCGGCAAGTCCGACCCGTATTGCGTCTTGTGCGTCGGTAGTTCGAACCCGCAGGTGACCACCGTCAAGAATAAGACTGTGTGCCCTGTGTGGGACGAGAGCTTCCAAATTCGCATCGCTGACCCGGGCTCAGACGCCTTTCAACTGGCCGTTTGGGACAAAGATCCGCGGACAGTCTGCGGCGTGTGCCGGGAGTTGCGGGACGTGCGTTCGTGTTTCTCGTGCCTGCATTTTCTGAGAGAGTTGTTCGAGACCGTGTGTTCTGTTGACGGTGCCGACGACTTCATGGGCACAACGTCACTCTTTGTCAACGAGATACCTTGCACTGGCTGCGAACAGTGGCTGCGTCTCGCGGACACGGGTGGTCGAGGAGCGTACGGCCGCATTTACGTGAGGCTTGGCTTCGAGTGCGAGACCCGAAAGCGACTAGACCGACAGACGGTGCTGCGTTATCACTACTATCTGTGCCTTATTTTCTTGTTACAACATGCCTCGACGACGGTCGAAAGTCTGCCTCTCACCTGGATCCAGTGGGAACAGTGTCTCGCAGAAGAGGGCCTCACGTTACTGTTTCGCCATTCACAGTACCACAATCTTTCTTGCGTAGAGCAGCAGCTGTGCCAGATAACGGCGCTGGTGAATATCATTATGTCTAAAAAGACGAGACTAAACTTTTCTGCGCTTTACCAGTTGTTGACACAGATCAGAGCTTCGATAAAAGAAACCAAAGACCAGCTGGTCGTCAACTCTTTGGAGGTGGTGGTCAAGGCTCTGACCGATCCTTGTCTGGAACGCTTGTCTAGGATGCATGAAAACTTCGATTTCGCCAAGAAGTACCATCGTATTGATTTGCTCGGGGTTCTCTTTTGCTGCGTTACAATTGAAGCTATAGTGGAGACGGAAGTCACGGATCCTGCTGGCGTAGCAATACAAAAGGATACCTCAGCGTGGTATCAAAGTCTGCTGACGTCTGGAGAATTGTGCGATGGTAATTCGCTCACGCATATTGTTCCGAGAATAATTTCAACCATAGAGGCTTATCACCAAGAGGCTGACCGGATTTTTAAGGCTGCCTGGAACGAAACATACACACAGATCGTGTACAAGGAGCTGGATGCTTTTATTTGCCAATCGTTCCAGACAAGAATCACGACTTTCTGCACCTCCCTCTTAGGTGAACAAGCCGACGATGTCTACCACTGGAAAGCAGTGGAAGAGAGCTTGCGGCTTTTCTACGTTTTACAAAGATTTCGTACGATGGTCTCTAGTTGCCTCATAACGAGTTGTGGCCCCATGAAAATGGACAAGCTCCAGGACTGGTTCGGCTTCGACCTGATATTACTGTGGTTCGAACTGGCGAGAAGTCCCGTGTCGGGGTGGATATCCGATCTTGTGAACAAGGACGACATGACCCCGCTCGCCCACGACATCAAGTATGGGTCGGCAGTCCGAGACACGATCGACATACTGCACAGCCGCTACGTCGAACTATGGCGGAAACTTGATACTCGCGATTTTCGATGCGTTCGAGCCTTCACCACGGCGATGGCCGAGGACTGCAAACACTTCGTGGGTGCCCTTTCGAGCCGCGTGGAGTGTGCCGGCTACTTTGACGTCGTGGGCGAGTTTGAAGTGTCTTCTCAGCTTTGCGTGGCAGTAAGCAGCTTCGCGCGCATCGCGTCTTTCTTGCAGGAAACCATCACGCAAGTGGATGTCGTCTGCCTGAGCGAGAGCAGTGACATTGCCGAGAGAGCTAGTGAAGCTCGTTTCCCTCTGGAACAAGCTCTGGACCAGTCTCTGTTGTCAATGTCTCGCGTCTGCACTGAAGTGGTCGACAGACTCGAACCGGAACTCCGCAAGAGGGTGTCCAGCGTCTGCGACGCGAGCTCCATGCACTTGCAAGACCGCGCTCTTCACGATATTATCCAGTACGTGGACGCTTGCATAGCGACGCTTCATGACCACTTGGACGAGATTGCTTTCAGAAAGATGCTCCGACTCCTGTGGAGGACCACCGTCAGCTCGATCAGGAAAGAGGCGTCTCTGGTTCAGGATAATTACTTGTATCGTTTCACAACGGCGCCCTTGAGTTTCTCGGGCCTACAGAGAGCGCTTTTTCAGCTCAGAGACGTGTACCATGCCGGAGGCGCTGGTTTACCAGTGGAAGAACTGAACACCAAGTCCTACGCGGTCCTCGACGTAAATTTGAACCAACTAGTTCACGCTTTAAAAGAGCATGACGCTGACTTAATGAAGAACGCTGGAGTAGTTATAGTGTAAAAAGCGCTCTTGTACATATTTCATAAGTGCAACGGGAAAGTAGAATATTGTCACTCTGTATCTCCCTTGACTTGCGAACGAGTCCGATGGACCCTACAGCTATTGATCCCAAGCGTAAGCTATATGTTGTGGAGCACACTGCTATGAATGTGTAAATTCGTGACGGTCGATTGATTATGGTTCTTATGCATCAGTGACAACGCCGGCGCTAATGCTTGTACACTTCTGAAAACACAACTGTACGTCGATCACTGTATTTTGTATTTCATTGCAAATATTCATTATCAGGAGCTCAGTAATTCGCGATTGCTTTGTTGCTCTACTGAAGATAAACCACAAACACTAAAAAAAAAAAACGGGGAGAACGTTTGCGTTTCGCCATGACGAGTAAAACGCATTCCTGAGCGTAATGGGCCTTTTCCGGGTAGGTGGTCTGTGCATGCACGCCCAGACTACAGTGTACTAGAATACTGTACCCAGACTACATACCGAGCAGGCGCGCGCACGGCACGCGCCATGCTTCTTGTGGCCAAAACGTGACGACACGTGTGGACGAAGTGACATCTGGTGCCGCAAACATGCAAATGTTTTCCCCAAAGAGAGGCGCAAACGCAGGCATCAGAGAGGGCCTACCGGCATGCGGATGGCAATTTCGGAGTCCAAGAGCCACCATTTTTGATTTAGGTGATCTCCACTTGGAGTGCTGTTCGTACTAGGAAAAGGCCCATTTGGCCCCGTTCACATAGCTTCTCAATCGCTAACTTGCTTTTGCTTCTCGTTATACCCCCCCACCCCCGTCATGCAGCAAGCAAACGAACGTCTGCTCGCGTTACATCAACGATTTCACTATTTACCACAATGACTCCCGCTCAAACCGAATAATTTTATTTGCATTTAGGTCAATATGCGGCACGTGGATGGATGGATGGATGAACTTTATTAGGTCCTTCGAAACGTGCTTCGGCACGTGGATGACACCAATTTTTCGCTCAGAGCCCACGACACCGACATTGCAGTTTCTGCGAAATGGGCTCTCTACAGCGATGAAAACTTGAGCAGCCATTTCACTCTGTGACGCTGGATGGCCAGTGAAGATACTACACAACCCAGAGGTGACACACAACTTTTCACAGTATACCCAATCGCACACCATAATACTAAATTGGAAATATTTGTAAAGAAATATTTTTTTAATTGAGCGTATGGTTCTCTAGAATGGTACCCAAACACGTTTACCAGTAGTAATTGCCTGTCCTTGTACAGTAAGTCGGGATTTTGTGTGTATTTTTGGATTTTTAAGTGCACCTGAGCTCCAAGTTTTATAAAGCTAAATCCAGGAGTGAGGACAGAAGCAGGAGTGGCACATTGGCAACTTGTATTCACTTATGTGCCACCCCACGCCTGGCTATTGCATTTAAGCGCATAAAATAGGGCTCGCATGTGCATTGAGGTGCCAAGTGCGACACAGAAAAAAAGATGCTTCCTCATCCTGAACAGGAGCCAAAAAATTAACAAGAAACCTTTTGAAAAGGTTCTTGGGAAAACCCTTTTTTCTCCCGGAAATCCCATGTTGCTGGGGCATCCCAAGAACGTTTTCTTCATGCAGCGATGTTCTTCCATGGTGGTCCATTATGTCCCACTGAAGCCTTCCAATGGCGAAGCTTTTAAAACTTTCGGTTGCGCCAGGTAGCACGAGCAGAAAGTATCGTCACCTCGAATTCGCACACGCTTTCTTCTTTCTCCCGGTCCTCCTCTTTATTTTCTTTTCTGTTTCTCTTCCAGAACTCATGCGTCGATTTGTTTAGCGTAGCCTGCAATAAACCTGAGGAGTCAGTGAAGATCGAGCACGAATAGTGAGAGAAAGATGTAAGTAGTAAGGAAATGGGGAAGAAGGGCAAATAAACTTTATTGACAACCAGCAATTTCATGTGGCGTAGCCACCAACTGAGGGCTTCGCGAAAAAAAAAATTAAAGGGACTGCCTATACCATGCTTCACTTCTTGTCTGTATTGTGTCGCAATTAAAAGCGTACCATCTGAAGTGCCTAACCCGGCAGAGCTTTCTGTGGAAAGAGTGTAAAATTTTTTTAAACAGGATTTTTTTATTTGCGTTCGGTTGCTTTCCATTGGTGGGATGAATGCCTACAACACTGGTTGGTGGAGAGGATGAGAAATGTATTGCCGCTGAAAGTCGAAAACTGAAGCCACGTGCGGTTTTTGCAAGCTTTATCAAATTTTCTTTATTATCAAAAATGTGGAGATCCCACGTACAGTGGGAATCGATGATATGCGAAGCATGAATGAGAAAATGTTGATATGTCGCTATAAAATGAGCACAACTTTAGGAGGTGGAAATAAATGATGCCGTACATGGCTTCCGTGTCATGACTATCATATTTGAATGTGTCGTTTACCTTCGTCATCTATTCACATCACGTCATACCAAATTTATTATATATGGAGCTAGCGAAACGGCCATGAGCACGTTATGAGCGTGGTATATTGTCATGTTCTTACATGACTCGCGTGTCAGGGTTATGTTTGCACCAGTCATATATTTCGTCATCCATGGACGGCACGTGAAACCAAATTTGGTATATGTGGAGCAAGCAAAATGGCCGAGAGCGCATCATGAAGGGTCCAGTATACTCCAAAGAAGCGTCGACGCACATGCACGCTGGCCTCAGCGACGCTACGTTAGCAAAACGCGAGCACTCTGTAGTCTGACGCCAGGTGCGACCAGCGTCCGTCGGCGTAAGGTCCCTAGATGAAACTTGTTTTATCTAGGGACCTTACGTCGGCACGACCCGATGGCAACCGGCGCGAAATGCGACATGCTGCATTTCGTGCCAATGCCATAAAGTAACATTACTCTATGCCGATGCGTTACCCAGACAACACTGCGTCTCCCTCTTTTCGTGACGGAGGGATGCAGGGCGCACTGAAACATGCATGCGTCAAAGCAACGCAGCACGGCACGTACCTGCGAGTATATGGCAGGACCAGCGCCTGGCGTTGCAACGCCGGCGTGACGCGATGAAATGAACGCCGGCGAGCACACTCACCACGTCATGTCGAAATGTATTGGTGCGTTCACAGGGGCATGTAGTCATGTTCTCACATGACACGCATCTCATGATTATTATGTTTGCACCAGTCACATACCTTCGTCATCCATAGGCGTCACGTAATACCAAATTTAGAGTGTGGCGATGGCGTAGTAGTTTGAGCATCCGCCTCGCATTCAAAAGGTCCGTAGCTCGAATCCCTGCCACGCAGTTCCCAACCGGATAAAAGAAAGAATCCGTGAGGTGATGGAACTGCATTAAGAGGCCTGGGGTGTGGCCTAACCGGTAACCACCGCCGGTAACGCCCTCCCTCACCAGAGAAGGATTGGCCACCCTGGTGCAGTATCTGGACACTACCTCCCACATGTCTACGTCAATTAACTCACGGCCCTCAGTCCGCAGCAGCTGCGAAGCAACTGACCACGACAGCGGTCAGATCTGCAACGCAGCAGAGGGTGCTAAGAATCTCTGGATCCGGACAGACCGCCATTGGAACCTGAACTTGGCAACGTTTAACGCTAGAACCTTATTTAGTAAGGGAAGTCTACCTGTACTATTCCAGGAGCTAGAGGGTGTTAAATGGTATATAATAGGTTCAGTGAGGCTAGGAGGACAGATGAGGCCTATACGGTGCTACAGAATGGGCACGTTCTTTGCTATCGGGGCTTGGCTGACAGAAGAGAACTGGCAGTGGGGTTCCCAATTCATAGAAACATAGAGGAATACTATATTTATAATAAAAGGGTGGTAGGTATCGTAATTAAACTGAATAATGAATACAAGATGAAAGTGGTACAGGCTTACGCGCCTACATCCAGCCATGATGACGCTTCAGTTGAAGGCTTCTATGAAGACGTGGAATCGGCAATGAGTAAGGTAAAAACATAGTATACTATACTATTGGGAGACTTTAATGCAAAAGTAGGGAAGAAGCAGGCTGGAGACCAGGCAGTAGGAGATTATGGCACCAGTACTAGAAATGCCAGAGGAGAGCTACTAGTAGAATTCGCAGAACGCAATAATTTTCGGATTTTGAATACATTCTACCGAAAACAAGGAAACCTTAAGTGGACATGGAGGAGCCCCAATGGCGAAAATAAGAACGAAATAGACTTTATAATGAGTGCACACCCGGGCTTCGTGCAAGATGTGGAAGTGGTTGGCAAGGTATGATGCAGTGACTATAGAATGGTATGCTCTCGAATTCGCCTAGACTTGAAGAAGGAACGACAGAAACTGATACACAAGAAGCCAATCAATGAACTAGCACTGAGAGGGAAAGTACAGGAATGCAGAGTCTCGCTTCAGAACAGGTACTCGGATCTTAGTGAAGAAACCAACCTTAGCATAGATACACTGAATGATAATTTGACGAGTTTCAATACGGAGTGTGCAGTGGAAGTTGGAGGCAGGGTAGTTAGACAGGACACTGGCAAGCTTTCCGAGGAAACGAAGAATCTCATTAAGAAGCGTCAAACCAAGAAACTCTCAAGTACGACAGACAAAATAGAACTGGCAGAGCTTTCGAAGTTGATTAATAGGCGTAAGGTATACGATGTAAGAAAGTATAACATGGAGAAAATTGAACACGCTCTGAAAAACGGAGGAAGCGTCAAAACAGTGAAGAGGAAACTTAAGCGAGGCAAAAATCGGATGTATGCACTAAGGGACAAAGAAGGCAAAATAAGTAGAATTATGAATAGGACAGTTAAAATAGCGGAGGAGTTTTACAGAGATCTGTACAGCAGCCGGGACAACCACGACCTTAATACTATAAGAACTAGCAGTAACCCAGATGACACCTCACCAGTAATGATAGAAGAAGTAAGAAAAGTTTTGGAGAGCATAAAACGCGGCAAAGCTGCTGGTGAGGATCAGGTAACATCAGATCTGCTGAAAGATGGAGGACAGATTGTGCTAGGAAAACTAGCCA